CTCTCTCATCTCCAGGTCAATTGGAGTCAATGGACTGTGGTTGAACTTAGCCCATTTCTTCATTGCTGCCTTTCCCCCTCTTTTACTCACCAGTAGACCAATGTGTGTGTGATCGCCAGGAAGCTTCCAAGTTCGTGTGTTCCCTTTGAGTTTTAGTCTTAGATGAGAGTTTGTCCTGAAGGAACTTGGTTGCTTGCCTTGATGGCTTCCTGGCGAACAGTTGCTTATTCTTATAGTAGCCAGTCATACTGACATTTTTGTTTTGTTTTTTTCCTGATGATCTTTCTTTGAGGATGTATCTTCTGTTGCTCTAGCTGTTCCAGGCTGGTCTGCTTGTCCTTGCTAGTGGGAATGTCCCACCTCAGAAGGTTCTGGAAGGGACTCAGGATTCCACTTATGATCCTATAATCTGCAAAGGCTTTGCAAGAGGCCTATTTCACTGAGCAAGTTCTTTTAGGTATTCCAATTAGTTATAGGCTGAAGACGGGCTTACAAGTTGTCTGTAATCATGTTTTCCAACATTCCTTTCTATCTCACTCAAGTGTCCATGTTACAATAGTAGGCAAGGGAAACCAATATTCATAAGACAGTGAAGCATTTTAGTATTATTTCCCCTCTTCAAACAATGCCTAAATCCCTGTATCACAGAGCCCTGTTGTTCCAAGGTTGAGCATGCATCACTATTAACCTCTGTCCCACTTAGGCCATGCAAACCTGCCTCAGTGATCCCCTATCTATCTTGTTCTTCCACCTCCTACCCCTTCTTCATATTGCCCTTCCCAACACCTGAATTAAACCCCACCAAACCCCAATGTTTAGGTTACCTTATATTCCATTAACTCTTCCCTCCATTTTAGACAGTCTATTTTATCCTGTAATCTACCTGACCTTCTCACCACCTGGATCTCTGTTCCTCTGTGCTTACCTTCTTTCACATTGTAATTGTTTTAATCATAGATGACCTCCCAGAGCTTCTGTTCTTATCATTTTATTCTGTTCTGGACTCTTCCATTTGTCTACTGAGTTCTGGGTGATGCTGCCACGTACATCATTCTCTGGTTGTTGTCTGTTATTGTTGGTTCTCAGTCCACAGAACTTACTTTAGGATGTTTTTTATAGCAAGGTTTGCTTTGGCAAAATCACTTAGCTCCTGTTTATCCTGGAATATTTTGATTACACCCTCATATTTGATTGACAGCTTTGCTGAGTAGAGGATTCTTGGGTGGCAGTTTTTTCTTTCAGAGTTTTATATATGTCTCCCCATTGCCTTCTTGCCTACATGGTTTTTGTTGAGAGATCCGAGCTTAATCTGATTTGCTTGCCTTAGTATGTTATATATCCAGGACTTGGCCCAGTAATCTGTAATGCTGAAGCTAAAATTCTAGAGTACATTTCTCAAAGAAATATCCGAGAACAGCAAAGAATCCTCTCTACTGCTTTCAGGATTCTGTCTTTATATTTTATTTTGGAGAGCTTGATTGTTTTATGTCTTGGTGATTTTCTTTTAGAGTCTATCTTTCCTGGGGTTCATTGAGCTTCTTGAATTTGCTTTTCAGAATGTTAGGGAAATTTTCTTCCAGAAGCTCTTCAATTATCTCCTCTGTGGACTTGTGTGATTCTTCCTATTCCGGAATGCTGATAATTCTTAAATTATTACTTTTCATGTTGTCCAACATGAATCTTAGGCCTTCTTCAGTTTTTTAAACCCTTTTTTGTGTTTGCTCTTTTATCTTAGTAGTGTTGAGAGATTTATCTTCTAGCTCACTAGTTCTGGCTTCTATCTCTTCAATTCTTTCAGTGTATTGTCCATTTCTGATATTCTATTGTTAATCATTTGAACCTCTTTCTGTAGGTTTTGAATTGTTTCCAATGCTGTATCTATCTTATTTGATTGTTCCTATAGTGCTTTCCTGACTTCTTCCTTATTTTTCTTAACTCCATTGTATAGTGTTTTGATACATTTTATCAATCATTTTTCTGAATTCCTTCTCTGGCATTTCCAAAGCCTGCCCATTTTCCAGTATGTAATGTAGGTCTACTTCCAGCTCATTTGCCTCAGTCACTTTATCTCATTTCTGGACATGTGCTGATATGGTCATCTGTTTCTGTTTTTTGGGCATACTCAGGAGTTATCTGTGGCCTTAATACTTAGATGGATATGTATTTTGGTATTTTTTATGCTTTCTGACTGCCTCCAGGTAGATGTGAT